AGTAAAAAAAATGCGGATGGTCTATAGAACACTAGCAGATCATATGGAGAACACGGTGTAGTCGTCGCGATCTCACATTTAATTTTTTTTTATCAATATGGATCAAGCGGAGGTGCGAGTGCAGCACGTTACATATAATACTATTGTGTACACCCCTATGCAACTACTTTGAGCTTTCGCTCCCAAGTGTCCATTTAATCGCTACAGAAACTCAGCCTATACAAATTTCTAGTCAGCCAAAATAACACATGTTTTATTTTATACAGGATTTTGTATTGGGCCGACGGTGGCCGTAAATTGTGTCCAGCTTGACAAATCTCTTTTTTGTATGTGAGCCTCCCTATAAAGTGTAAAAACGCGAGCGTTAGCACATCCTTGCTATTTTGAAGCATGTTTTGCAACTTGTGTGAAAACCGCACCGTCAAATAATAAAAATTGACTGAGTTATGGGCACTCGACGAGGTGGCAGTACATGTATCATTGTGTCCAGGAGTGTATAATACTGGACTATTATACTGACGACCACCTAAAATTCTGGGCCATTTGGGACGACGACATCTAAATGGTCCGAACCAAGGCCAAAACAGAATGAAAGAAATGGAGACAATCTCCAAATGCATGCCCATGAGGTCTTGGCTTATTAATAAAAGACACAATGACCCCTCATTTGGGCCTCTAAAGCGGTCCTGCGTGACGAACCGCTCCAGCGTGTGACCAATTTCACGGGCGAACTTCATTGAAAATACTCACGACAAAAAACGTTCTGTGTTGTAGCAAGATGGCGCTCAAAAAATGCGTTGTCCAAAGACAGCTAATAATTAGATATTAGTAATATATTACTGGCCACCGAGGAGCTAATGCAATAGCTACTGTAGTAGTATTAGCTGAATTCGTTCGCCAAACTACTAGCCATTGTAGAAGTTCGGTAGTCATTCGGTATTAATTAGTACCATGATATTACCATATGAAACATTTGGCGGGACCCCGGGGTCCCATCCTATGCCGGTAAACAGAGGTATAGAAAATCACAAGGCTGTGATACAATATGTTATCAGTTTTAGTTTCTCTGTAAGCTAAAGAACTGCAGAATAGATGGTTAATTAGTGCGTAGTGTGTCGTCTTTTAGTTTTCGAGGACATGCTGGTTTGCGTTTGGACGATGGATTGCTGTCATGAACGACAGTAGCACCGGTCTCGTTGGATTCCGCCGTTGATGCGCTTGCAATGGCTTCTGGTACGTTTGAAAAATACGCCAGGTTTTTTTGGAATGGAGAAGTACTGTGCTATTAGTGACTTCATTTTCTTGGCTGAAGTTTTTTTGTGGGATGTTTTGGTAGCTGGACATCAGAGGGTGACTCTTCCCGAATGCTGGGAACGTTGGATCGAAACAACTCCAATATCAGTGCTTTAGATGCGCTAGGAGTGTTACTCGGGTCGATCATAGGACAAAACAAGGGAAAGTGAAGGCGAAACGGTATGCATTTGCAGATTCACCGGTTACAGCCAGCACCGTACCTAAAGCTTCGGCGTCAGGTGTATAAACCGTCTTCCGAGCAGTGTATACTCCATTGTCAATCTTAAATAGATAGTTTGCTGTATAACCAGCAGAGGGTGGTGTAAAATATTTAGCAAGCAGATCACCCCACTCAGCGAAAATTCCTTTCACACTCTTTACCTCGTTCACTTTTTCCACTAGATTCATCGGAGTATATAAATTAAGGCCTCGGGTGGCTCGACGACACCAAGCAATGACGCGGTCTGCAATATTCTGGGAGAGACCGGGAGGTAGAAAGCACAAAACAACCTTTTTGTAGGGGAAAATGATCGACATCATTGCAAAAAACATCATCACCACTTTGGATTTGTTATGGCCCACACAATTATCCAACAAGCTGAAGCTGATTTCAGCAGCAGGAACACCTTTGCGAGCATTGAGTTGGAAAGTATTTAAATGATATATAAGACGGAGACTGCATAATACATCGGCGTTTTTTTTCTTGTCCACGTGCGTCATTGAAATATACATTGTTTATGCCATGCGAGAGGTCAGCAACAACAAAGTAATGAAGCATGAGATTACCGTTAAAGTAGTCTTCCGATGGACGACAATGCCCGTATTAAGGCATCGAAATACCTCAACTGAAATCCTCTGCCTGGATTTGCACGCGACACTGAGCATCCTCAACTTTAAGTTGGCGGGCTTCAACTCTCTCAAAACCACATTCATCATCGGGCATAGTATCAACAGTGTCTGGAATAATTTCGCTTGGAACGTTCAGCTCAGGAGCATGTAAAGCGGTATATCCTTTAATAGAGGACGGTACAAATCGGCGCTGGGTAATGGCTCATTGAAGTTCGTTTGTTTTTCAAGCATTATTTCTTGCCTCTCCTCATCTGATAGATCGGGTAGTTGAAGTAAAACATCGAGGCGAATGCATCAATCGCATGCGTCTTCAGTGGTCCTCGTTAGCCGCACGCCAGTGTAGTAAAGATGAGCATGCTGTGTGAATCGGGTGTAGATCATAGCTCTAGCGTCTAGGTACACACGCTTAATTTCATCTTGGTAACGCGAATGAATAATTCTCCACGTAATCTTTGGTTCGGTGAAGTACTGCCGTGGTCGGCGGTGTGCGCATGAGAACCCGTCCTTCAATACCCAAGTAGAACAATGCTCTTTGAAACGAGTTATATCTTTATCATCAAAAGCATGAGCTGGTTTTGATGGTTCAAGCCGGGGTATGGAAGGTTTCAACGCCGCTTTCTAGCATCTTCTTTAGCCTTGCTACAGGACTACCACCCAATAGAAGTATCACTCTAATCACACGTTCGTACAGGCCCTATCTCAGTAGCTGTAGCACGACACCCTCCGATTGTTGCCACTCTTTGCCTCCTTGGCTTGTATCTCACGACTCCCAGTCCTCTCTCATTTTCTTGATGTTATCTTCTCCAAGTCGCCCAACCACACGCGCGTACGCAGCTTCTTTTCTGTCTGGACCCTTTCTTCTCTTCATGTGCTGCTTTCTAGAGGTGGAGCCTCCTCTACGGCGACGCTCCATCTTCAAGCCTTGAGGATATTTTCTTGTGACGGTTAGTCAGGCCGGTGCACAGTCCAAAATAAATAATTCATGAAACCGAGGAATTGTTTTGCGGGACCCCGGGATCCCGCCAATTATTTCATATGTCGAAACCTCTGTCAATCCCTGAATACAGTACTAGCGATTCGGGCCGGTATTAACTCTGCATCTATTGAATTTTTTTACTACTGAAATCTCTAAATGACTTTAGACTAGTAATGTGCTATCAGGGTATAGACATGTGTTTTATAGTACACTAGTACCTGGGAGAATTAAATAGCTTCAACAAAATTTCACCTTTTTTATATTACACATGTGATCGCATATTAACTTTACACTCTACAACTGGAATATCTGTTTAAGAAGGTATTGTGATAAAGCGTGGTTGTCGTTTTCTATCATCAGAAATATTGACCCTTTCAACAACCGCTTTTTCTCAGCGAGTTCACCTGCCGCGGCAACCACAGCCCGAATTCTGGCTCTATACTTCTTCGCCTGGCGGTGAGTGGGCTGTTGTAGTTGTTATTTGCTACTCGTCTACTTGTATAAAGTATCTACTTTTCTATCAACTCGCTCCGCTCTAAACCTTTATCATGTACTCATTTGACCAATTGGATCGCGACGAACACGGCGAAGTGAGGTGTGGACACATTCGAAAACGGTCCTACGACTGTCTCACCACTTGCTCCTCGCTCATGGAGGAGCACATTATGTAGCTAGGATGCTACTGTGTAGCTCGTACCGTTGCTTTGCGCAAAGTGGCGTGAGGCGTGGCGGCTCTGCTACGATATACTACATGCTGAAGTGATCCCTGTAATTATACAGGTTTGCTTGAAAACTAGGTTGCAAATATTACTCGCCACTTGCGAGTCGCAACAAAGTTTGAAGCTACAGGCCTCGGGGCACGTACTAGAAGACGCAGGCGTCAAATTGCACGCAACAAAGACCGAGTCTTCTAGTGGGAGACTTCTAGTGGTAGACTGCTTATCAGCAACAACAAAAACCTTAGTGAACTAATGTGCATTTATGTAAAGCTTTTTTTAGCAAAAAAATCAAACAATAAGTAAATTCAACTTATCAATCAAAAGATCGATCTACGTACGTAGCCAGTGGTTGATTTCCATGCTAAATTTAGTTAATCCGTGGATTTTTACCTGCGTGGGGTATTAAATCTATAACCATCGATACGACATAATATTTTATAAAGTTAATCATTTGAAGTTTGTATGCGTTACTATTTAGTATAGCACAACAAAGACTCCCTGAATTAAACCCTATTGGGCTGCGTGACGGGGTCACACAGCACTTTGCGCAAGAGGAAGTTGGCTTCCGAGAGTCTACAAACTCTCAGTGA